CCCCCCCCCCCATTTTTACAGGCAACTGTAAACAAAATCATTTTAGCCTTCTAGTGCAGCCTCTGGTACAGTTATAAGCAAATAGCAGATGTGAACCATATGGTCTTCTGGCCATCTGGAAACAAAAGCCACCCTAAATCTGCCTGTACCCTCAAGGAAATATTAGTGTGTTTCTTTTGTCTTTACGAACTGCTTCAGAATACTTTTATTCTTATAGGCTTTTTTAAAAAATGGAAAGAAAGCAACCAATGACTTTCCTTTCCTTTATAAATTAGACCTTAAGATAACATGAAATACAATTTTTGCCTCATACCAGATGTCTTCATTGTTTCATAGGGAAGTTATTGGAGGCACAGATTATAGTGTTTTTCTTCAACAAGATACAGTTTCCTTTTATATGTAAAACCTTAATGGATTGTCAAAGATCAGTAGAATAAAAAAAAAAACCCAACTAATATGTACATTTCTTGTTTGACAGGAGTATAAAGTCTCCAGCTTTGAGCAAAGATTGATCAGTGAAATTGAATACAGGTTGGAGAGATCTCCTGTGGAAGAATCAGATGACGAGGTGCAACATGGAGATGAACCTATTGATAACAGTATGTCACCATATTTTGAGATAAAGCTGAAGCATTACAAAATCTTTGAGGGAATGCCAGTCACATTTACATGCAAAGTGGCAGGAAATCCAAAGCCAAAGGTAAGAAAAGAGTGTAACTATTTCTAGAAATGCTCTGAAGAGTTCTATATTAGTACCTTACAGTGAGCCCCTGGATCCTATGGGCTGTATCTTACAGGAACAGCAGACATTGTCTCTTTACAAGAAAGACTCCTAGCTGGTATAAACTGTCAAATCTCTTTTGACATTATTGGAATTATTCAGATTTATACTAGGCAAAAATCCTACTATGAGGCTTTGGCTCTTGGTTACTCTCCCCTGAGACTTCATCTCAACTATTTTACCTAGAATTATTTTACTTCTGTCATTTTCAGCATTACCGTCTGCGTACATCTGTACCACAGAATGCGGTGCAATGCTAGAAAGTCCCACGTGAGCTGGCACAGTAGTCACAAAACCAACCTGATCAGGTTAACATGGGTAATTATCTCGGGCACAGCAACATCCTAATGCAAAAATATGCTGCTTCTGGTTCAGGAGCCAGCATGGTATCTCTGCATTCTTCAGCATTGCAGAGTTTATATCTACACACCCTAACAAGACTAAATTTTAATGAAAGTTAGAAGAAGGCATAAAAAAATACCATAAGCTCCCATATATCCCAACAGCAAGATGAGACATGATGGTGAGGTTTTAACGATGAGCTTCTGAGGGAGGGTTGGGCTTGGGAAGCATTTCCTTCTAGCAGATGTAAAAGTACAAGTTGCATGATGTCAGTAGTCTGGAAGAATGCCTTCCTTTGGTAGGTTGTGTTTAACCATTTCAAAAATTGCTTGGCAATCGACTGACTCATTGTGCAGCAGGCAAACAGCAGTAGCTTCTTCAACTTCCTTGCCAAAGCCAGTATCTTCCCCATGAGGTCCTTGCAGTTCTTACAGTGACCTCTTGTGGATAGAGGCTCTTTTCTTCTTCGACAAGATCAAAGATGCCTTATCTCTTAGATAAGATCTTCACAGCAGCAGCCACATCCAAATCTTTCATCTAGTGTAAGTTTTACAGGTATTAGGATTTTGAACACAGATAAATGCAAATGACTTTACATGTCCAATGATATAGGCATATGATACTGCACAAACTGTAAAAAGAAAAATGGACTTTCTCAGGTAGCAGAGAAAGAACAACAGAGAACTATGGCCACATCTACATTAACAAGTAGTGCAGACCAGAAGAAGCAAATCTGTAGAATGAGATAACCATCCCTGCATGCATTTCAGGAGGTTTTACTTCAGGCTAGCTCTAATCTTGTCCCACAGACTGAAGCAGATGCAGCACATTAGATGTGTTCTTGGAGCACATTTTCTGGCTTAGTTTCATCTGAAAGGAATCCAATTCTGTGCTCCAAGACCACAACACGATGTGAACCACTGCAAAGTAAGTGGGGCTGATCAGTATAGTCATGTCAAAAAAGCAGTCCTGCTTCAAACTGAAGACACACACTGAGATTAGCCCAGTCTGACTGAAACCAAACCTTTGATGTCCAGTGTTACTTTTGAGATGACCATACAGAAGAGTCTGTTGTGCTGAATAAGGGTAGAAGACAAATGGGTTCGTTGGTGTTAGAGCTGCAGTGTGCTGGAGAGGTGCTCTTTTTGCCTGAGGCTTATGACTAGGTTGCTGGATGACCTATTATGAGTCAGCCTTAGTCAATTTAGCCATTCCCTAATTTTCACAGTTTTCAATTAAGGTGTAGTTTCACAGTCATCTTAATCTGATTTAAAACAGATGAAAGAGGATGTCTCCTTTCCCTCACTTGCCTTGTTTTGGCGTTAGGGATTGCACAGCAAGAAACCACATTGTTAGTACTTCCCCTAAAGCACAGCACCGTAAAAGGAGTATCTGATGTGAATGCACTCTGATTCAGATACAATGTTCTGTTTTTCTGCAGTGTCAAAGCACGCACATTAAGAAGTGATTTGCTCTTGCACCTGGGACTATGACCCTTTATTCCGTTCACTTGCAGATGCTTTGTGCGATTTGTTAAGTTGCTTGGGATGGAACCAATTTCAGTCCTGTTGGATGGCTACTTGTTAGCTGGGCTTTGCAAATGTCAAAGGCTGTATGTATCTTCCCCTCATCTGCTGGAGCATGTCAAGATAGCAATTTTGAAATGCTCGATGTCTGAGGGCTGCCCTTCTGCTGTCATTTGTTGAAGCTGGAAGTGTTGCCCCTGAATAAATTCTTTACTTTGGCAAATGAAAAGCTGGAAATAATTTACTAACTTGAAGCTCCTCCCTTCTAAGTGTTCTGTCAGCTCTGCCAAGGAATGGCTTTGGGAAGGACTGTAGTGTTTCTAAAATCTGGCATTCATTACAAGGGCTTTTTCTAAGCGGGGTTATTGCCTTGATTATTTTTTTCCCTGAACATGCCATGTAAATTGAATACTGATGTGCAAATTCTGTCTTCATAAATATGACTTTTTAAATCTGAGTCTACTTTTGTTATAACCTTCAGTGTAATGTAAAACTGTTTTCTCATTAAAATGAGAACCTGTGGTGATACAGGAGGGATTGTGGAATACTTCTTTTTAAGGGATATTTCTCTTCAGAATCAGGACAATACTATATGAAAGGTTAATTGAGACGTGAATGTTGCATAAACCTTGTACTGCTTGCTCTTCACATAGCTGAATATAATTCATAGTGATTAAAAATGCCTGTGCTGCCCAAGATCAAAACCCCTTTTGTACTGTGTATTCCATTGTATTTCTAGTCGTTACATATTGGTTTCTGAAAATCTGGTATGAATAAAAGCAATCCAGATGCAGTGCTCAGTGCTTACGTAGTTTAATGGTACATTTATTAAAAGGTATCCTAGAAAGAAAATACTTCACTGCAAGGGCCATTGTCTCCAGCAGTGGTAGTGTTTTACTTATTAACTCCATGTCAGATAAAGGTAATATTAAGAATTTACTACTTATAAGTAAAACCCAGTGATGCCAATGTTTTTAAACTTAGTGGAAATGAGTATTGGACAACATATGCATGATGTTTGGATAGCTGGTTTAGTTAATATTTGCATGTATTTCCATGTAATAATTCCTGGCATGTCTCCTGATATTTCTGATAAGTGCATTGTTATTAAATAATTACTACTTAATGCAGTAGATTTCCAAGCAACATTATGACACATGTAAAGCATGCAAGTTAAAACTCATTTTTTGCAGCTATGTTGTTACCAGCATCCATTAGCATGTGTATATAAGTGATCAAGTATCTCTTGCATCTCCAGTAAGTGCTCTGTCAGCAGATGAGAAGACATGACTAAATCTTTTGTTAGCACCACAGAGTCTCTGCAAGGCTGCTGACAGACAAAATGGGAAACAAGTATAACCAGCTATTGAGGAAATGAAATCATTTCTAGTTACACATAATGCTTGTTAATATAAAAACCATACATGGTAATTAATTTTTAAGGGAAATTTCCACTCATTCCCTCTAAAACATTCACCATTGTCTTTTTGTGAAATTTAAAAGTATATCCTTAACTTTTCCCCCCAAGTGAATGAATTTAGAGCTTTGAAATGTTGACACGTATGAAGAACCTGGCATATTAAACTCTATCAGGAATTGTGCTTTGCTTTGTCACTTCATTTTTACTGGAAAGCCAGTACCCTTTCCTCACTTTAAGACCTAAATTCCCTCTTCAAGAATTAGACTGAGGAAAATGTGTGTTTTCCTTGTGCTAAATAGTCCCAGCAGTGATGCCACCAGGACAAATACAGTTATATTTTGTACAAGTTAACCACGTAAAAATTGTGTAGGATTCTACACAAGCGACTTAAGAAATGCTGAACACCACTGATGTTTGTTAGAGAGTAATATATGCTTCAGAAATGACAAGTAAATAATATTCTACTTAAACATGGGTTTGAGGAGCTGATGACAGCCTTCCTAGTATAAAATTTTTCACATATTCCTGTGTGTGTTTTCATGCATACACCACGTTTTTCCTTTGATTCCAGCAGATTTCAGTTTGGGGTTTTATATTACTTTTAAAATATAGCAAAACGCCCCAAAGCTAGGTCAAAATATTTGAATCTTTTTTCGCCTTAAATTTCAGGCATTAAAAACACATACATTTTTTTGTGTAATTTATGGATTACTATACGATATTATTCTGCATACATCATTTTTTTGGCTCACTGCAAGTAGATCTTGGGTCAGCCAGAGAATAAAATTATGTATCAAAAGTAATGGAAAAGACCTCTATTTGATAGATAATGTAACTGTTCTGTACAACTTGGAACTATACTGGTGTTGGCGTACAATTATTAAAGGCTATCTGTGTGCTGACTTGCTTTGAAGTATTTCCTCTTGCTTTGTAAAGCTGTCCATTTCTGTAGATGTCTGTCACATTGGGGTGACACTGTTGGTTTCAATCATACAATTGTACTGAGCTGGCCCGTTCACGTACTGAACTGTTCATTGCCAGCGTGAGCGCCTGAATCCCCTTCTGTTTTTTTGGTTCAGTCCAGTCAGCATAATGGATATGAGACAAAACTGGTGTTTCAACAGTGAGATCATTACTTCTATTTTATTCATCGTTGAACTAACTGTTCCTATAATTACCTTGGTTTATGTTATTTTCTGAAAAGAGAGCAATAGCATTCTTTCTCCAACTTCTTCAGATTCAAGTTATTTCACTTAAAATTAGTATTATTAGTATGTTAGTTATTAAAATTAGTAGTCTTCTCTGAAATAGAACTTTTCTTTGTAATGACATTTATTTTCAGTTCTTGAAATGTTCAGCTGCTGTTCTGTGCTTGGGATGGGTACAGCCCTCATGCACCTGTAAATTTCTTCAGTAAATGTTCATGCTGCCATCTTTCTCTTTGAGAGATTGCTAATCTTTAACTTGTCCGTCAGTGAAAGTGGTTCATGGAGTGTGGTTCTGCACTTTTACTAGTTGATCAAACTGGTTTTCTTTTAATGCTTACCAGAAAGGTTTTCAGCAGTTAGGATTCGTTAGTGCTATTAATTGAGAAATGATGACAATGAACACCCACCTCTTATCAGCCATGCCTTGTTTTTTCCTGCAGATTTATTGGTTTAAAGATGGGAAGCAAATTTCTAAACGAAGTGATCACTACCGAATTCAAAGAGAACCTGATGGAACTTGCTCACTGCGTACTGCAGCCTCCACCCTGGATGATGATGGGAATTACACTATTATGGCTGCTAACCCACAGGTAAATGAAGGTTTGGTTCCAGAGCAAACATGCTTCTGGACATAAATCTTCAGAAAACTATCTCATCTTACGTATGCGTGATTTAATTAAATGATGAAGTCACCATAAAGTATGTAAGTTAGATTTCTGTTTTCATCTTGCATCAGTAGGGTGGGACCTTTCTATCTCCAAGAGATTAGCAACTCAACAGCAGTTTTTTTCCTATGGTTTGAGGTTTCAGAGGGGAGGGGTGTTGTTTTTTAATCACTCATCCACCATTTGTTTCAGCTGATAACATCTCAATATCCTTACTGAGCATGGACAGCATACGTACTCTGAAGGGAGAAAAAAAATCCAGTTTACCAGTAGAAGTAACCCAATCCAGCAATTTAATTTTTCTTCTGTTGACACTACTCACTGACTGAGGCCAACTTTTTGAAATGAGTAGGAGTATATCACACCTCAACATGTTTAGATTAGGCAGCGATTGCAGTTCTGTAAGGCAAAAAGTTCTAGCACTTACTATGTAGAGGGGAGCTCTCCTGTGTTCATCCCAAAGTCTTAAACAATGTTTTTCTGAAACACTGAGTGTTACTGGTTTTGTAATATTATTTGTTCTTCATAGACTCAATAAAAGAGCTGAGGCATAAAACAGGAACCCACTAGCGTGTTGGATATCACTTAAATTTACAGTTCACGCATCCTATTGAAGTAACTTTTTCAATCCACTTCTACAGCACAGCAAATTGAGGGGAAACATTTGCACATGAGAAACGAAGGCAGTAACATAACTTCAGGGATATAACAAATTATTTTCTTCTGTAGCACCAGATATCTTGCCAAGACCAGGCCTTCGAGTAGAATCACACTGTGAAGTAACAAACAGTATCACTGAGACAGAGTTTAATCTGAACAGGAGTGTTGTGCTCTGTTATGAATGTTGCTAGGTTACGTAGCATGACACTGCCATTTTTGCCTTGCTCTTTAACTGTCAATCCTGCTCTATTGCAGTCTGCTTGTGAATGTATGGGATTGTACGCACAGATGACACACAGATAGCAGTTTTAGGCTAGAATCTACAAATTGCAGTGCTTAAATCTAGGTAGTATTTCTACATACACAGATAACAGAAATAAAGAAATAGCATAAGGCCAAGGGAGTTCTTCAAGCTGGGAGCTTTTACACATAGATGACCATTGTGTTATAGCACATGGTACTATTTCAATTGTGGAAATTCACAGTAGGTTTAAAAATGATAAATAAATACATACATGCTCAAGGTAGGAAGTGAATTCTGTTCATCTTCCTGTAAGTGTTGTGTTGGTGCATGTACAGAGTTTCCCTATGTAGTGTTACCGCGTGATCCAAAAATCTTAGAGACCTTGGTGAATAAATTGCCTTTGTGTTTCGGCACTGTACTCTATCCTGAATAACTCATATGAGCATATTTAGGGCCTACTTTTTAGCATTTGTTACTCTGGATAAAGTTCATTTGGTGACACAGCAGGGAACTAGGTTATCAGCTCTGGTCATTGATGACGCTAGTTTGTTAGTGGGTTTTTAGATGTACTAAAATGAGACATTTTTGTATTGTTCCTAGTTTGGGGATTGAAAAAGCAGTTTTGTTAAATGACAAAAACCTGTGTCTGTGCTTTTTTCCCTTCTCTGGAGAAGAACCAGAAGCATCCTCCTCTGGCTCCCCTAAACAAAACATCTGTCTGTTTTACCAAGCCCATTCTATGCTTTCTTTATTCTTTCTTCACAGTGTAATTCCCAAGCAAACATACTTATCTCTTCCACTATTTGCTTGCTTTTACTATGCATTTAACAGTACAATGGAGGCAAAGAAGGGCTATGAGTTAATGTACTAGCCTTTCACACTCAGAGATCTGGATTCCAATTCTTTTAAGTCATCCTGAGTGGAAATAATTTTGGCATAGCTTCCTCAATTCTAATGGAAAGTTCTCCACATCTCAAAGCTATCACAAACTTAGGCAAATTTGGCAACCCTTCCTTAAGAAAAGCAAAATACATAAATATAACGGAGCCTACATCAGCATTCTGATGGACTGGTAGTTATTTGCTATGCCGTTGCTGTGTTTTGGTCATTGCTGTTGGAACCACCAAACTACAAAGCAAAAAGGCATATTCTTAGCTGATAGAAATTGATTTAAAGCAAAGGATTCCGTTCATGAGAGCTCTGCAAATTTATGCCATCTCATGATCTGGACTAATACTACAGGATTTATGTATGTAAAGTGACTTGTTGACACGCCTTGGAAATCATCCGTGGTGGTTAATACGGCAGGCACCATTGCCTGTGATGTAAAGTGCAGTGATCTGGAATTAAGGTTCTAACACACCTCTGGGGTTTGCAGTAAAATTTGCCATATAACTTAATCCAGAGCAAACTGACCCTGGGCCTAGAAAAACACAAAACCTTGCCTGTTTTAGGCCTTTAGTTACAGGTTACATCCCTTAACTAACTGATCTCTTTCCATGAGCTGTATGTGCTCAACTCGAGTCCTTATTTTCACCTTCTTCCCTTTTATCCTGTTCTCTCTGCTTCTTTGCATTATGCACCCAGTCCTCAGTCTGGATTTTCCTTATTTTTCTAGGCCATCTTCTCATGAATTACTTCCCACTCATCGCTTCCTTCCCATTCATCCCATGACTTTTCCAAATCTCTGGCTTCCTGCTTTTTCTTCCCTATCCAAATTCCTTACTGTTCTTTGTGTTTCTATTTGTGATGCCTTCAGGTATTGAGATAACGCAGAAATTTTCCCAAAATGTGTGAATGCATCACCTGCCAGAAAAAGATTAATATGCAGTGGTGCCTAAAATAGAAATGTATTTGTTCCAGATGTTTCTAATGGTCTTGTAACACAAAAAAAGCTTTTGCTTAAGAAATTGCTGCAGGTCATGCACAATGGCTTATTTTAACACAAGTATTTTTCTTGTGGACTAAGTGGGTCCTGGGAATAAAAGCGGGACACAGCAACTTCATTTCTAACAGTCCAGGAGTAACACAGTCATTGCCATTTGAAGGCTGCTGTGACCCCAGTGAAATTGTTTTTCAATGGGCTTTGACCAGTTGTTAATGAACAGCAATTTGCAACCCCTGAGTTACTGTGACAAAAATATTTGTCACTTTTATGGTGAAAGACTTGAGTGTGGAGCTCACAGCTTAGAACTGAAATACACTGCAAAGCTGATGTGGATGTTGCCTTACTGCTACCAGTCCAGGGGGCAGAGACACAGATGGACATCTTCTATACAGTTATCAAAGAGCTATTTAAAACTATCATTTTTGAAAAGTTATTAAAATTACATTGTCATATAAAATTATATAAACTTTTACTACAGTATTATTTTTATATATACCTGTTATATTTGTATCTATTATGTAAATTTATTAATACCACCAGATGCTTTTACCCCTTACATGGTGAATTCAGCAGAGTCCTGGATGTCAGCAGTTCTGGCTGCAGGCAGTCCTATCCGAAATTTGTTACCTCTAGTGCTTGTGGTGGACCATCTGTCTTTTAAAAAACAAAATAGTTTATTTTGACATAAGAAACAAAGCAAAACAAAACCCAGGGATTAAATACAACAGATCCCATGTTTTATTCAAAGCTTTATCATTCACTGAAAATAACCTAAGACTGCTGAACCATCTCCAACGTCCAGCAGTGCAGTTGTGTGCTTTGGTGCAATTCGTACCCCCAAACCAGGCTCACTCTTCCAAGAGGAGCCTTTAAGTACTTGTACAATTGATTTGCTTTTTACATTCATAGATTTTTTTTGTTTGAGCTGTGGCCCCACCAGGTCAAGTGGATCAATGCACTTTGGAGGCAGAAGCTCTGTTGTTAACTTTCAACACTTTCTAAGTGCCATTTTCAAGAGTGACTGATCTTGAACTAGTCTTTCTGTCCACTTGCCAGACACAGAGAAACCTCCCACCCACATCAATGACTTAGTCAATATACTGGTTTAAGGATTTAATTGCCAGTGGTACTAATAATCTTTTTTTAAAGAAAAACTTCCAGGTGGAACATTTTAACCATGACTGTGTTATAGTCACAATTATTCCAGTCTGTTCTGTGTTAGATGGGAAGCTGACAAAATAGTTTAGTATCAGAAGGTATGTTGACAAATGTTTTTCAATTACTTAGTGAAAAAAGAGATTGTATTACAGACTCTGTAACAGGTGGGCAAAACCGAAGAGATCAGATTGAACATTTATTAATATTATATGCTTTAAGTATTTTAATGTTTCTACTCTCCATCATCCTAACAGGGAAGAGTAAGTTGCACGGGCAGGCTGATGGTTCAAGCTGTAAATCAAAGAGGCCGCAGCCCTTGGTCACCCTCTGGTCAGCCTCATATGAGAAGGTATTTGCTGCTTTTTGTTTGTTTGTTTTAGTAATAAGTTTTGCAAAATTATTACGATAAGATAAAGAATGTGAAGTAAGAAGGTAAGCTCAAAGTATGGCATTCAGGAAGAAATGTGCCTCTGCTGTCTAAAAGTTTCTGCAAAGCTTGCACACTCAGAATTATAACCAACCTCTGAAATTACATGACTTTTAAGTATCTTTAATTTTGCCTGTCTCCTCCTTTCTTTGTCATGTTCACTACTTGCTCCTTATCTCAAATTACACTACCAGCTGTTGGGAAAGACCTTGTCACTTAGATGTTTTTTTAAAATATCTCACCTGACTAGGATTCTACCAGAAACCTGTAATTTCTGCAGCTTTTAATAAGTATTCATTTAAAGAAACAGCAGAAATAACTGCATGCCAGACAAGGTTATTAGATTTACATTAGAAATATTTTACTATTTCAGTGATTTCAGTTCAGGTTCTTATAAGGAATTATGAGTCAGAAATGAAGTATTAAACTTATCTTTGGTGAGTTTACAATTATTCACATACGAAGCTTTGGTTTATGGTTTTGGACCATATAAGGGAATTTTCCCTTCAAATACATTTTTTTTTTTTTCATTACCCAGAGCATTTATGGGGCTATTTAAGCATGGCTTAGACATCTTTAGATGATACAAAAAAATTCATTTTGATTACCCAAACAGAACTGCTTTCAAGGGAGTATGAGGGGTCTGGTTTCTGCTGTGATGAGGCACATGTTTTGCTTAATGGTCACAATGGCCATAGACTCTCAATATTGCCTAACTGTAATATGTAGAAAAAACGTACATACATATAGTCAATGTGCAATAAAGAAATGATTCCTGTAACAATTAGTAGTGGTAGTAGTATGTACTGTAGAACTCCTGCATGCAAAACAGGCTGTCTTACCCCCTCTGGTAACTAGGAAGTATTAGGAAGCGGGGTTGGTTGTTTAGAAGATCTTATCAGTCTTACTCTTGCATGGAACAAACTGGGCTTCCCACAGTCCTGAAAGCATTTCCCAACGTTTCGCTGAGGTGTCCTACCAGCTCCCCCTCTAATGCTTCACCTTTAGGCCTGTTAAGCCCAAAGCTCAGACTTCTTATGGAGGAGAATATCCTGCTATCACTGCATTGTGAGAACAGCCCAAAAAATCTGGGTCTGTTTGGCGTACCCTGTCCAAGAAATAAGGCACTTGACACCTGCAAATAATGGGTAAAAAGGAAAATTGACCGTTAATCCCTGAAGGGAAAAGTTGCCATGAAGAGTCAGGTTTCAGCTTAGTCATTGCATGCTGGGTGAGAAAGAGGAAACATCTTTTAAAATGGGGATGGGAGAAAGGAAGATAGGTATGGGTAAGAGAGTGGCGAGCAGCTGACACTTCTGCATCTTTCTGAAGGATAAAATGCGGGTGTCTCTCTCTGTGTGACTGGCAGAACCCTTGGGCAGTAATGGGGGAGGCTCATTTTTCAATCTCTCCAAATGCAATTGAAGTCCGAGGCCACTTATGGCTGGTATTTTATCTTCTAATTGAGACAAACACTTGGGCAGCCACTATTGTTTTGGTTGGGTGTCCAGTAGAGTAATGAATTATAAATAAGTGATTTCCATACAGCAGTTTAATTAATATTAGGGCAATTATTGCAGATTTTTATTTCCTGTAAAATTACCATATGTGAAGGGCTCATCCTCATACCTTTACTTACAGAAGGTCTGTTTCTGCTAAGCATTCAGCACAATACTATTTCTGTTCAGTGACATTTCCCATTAGTCCCATCACCCCGTTCTCCCTGAGACTGATGAAATGTGAGCACGTAAAACCTTCCCAGGACAGATTCCCACCATCGGCTTTTCTAACATAACGTACCACACTATTGTGCTCCCCCATATACTATAGTATTTGTCACATATATTGCCATATACTTTTGGTAAGTAATACTCCCGTGGCATTACAATATTATTTCTATAAGCTTTTCTGCTTGAGAGCAACAAAACTTTTTTTTTTTTTTTTACAAGTGTAATTATTAGCTCAATGAACTTTATGACTTGTTACACTGTCGACTGGCTTTTTCCTGCAGTATTTTTAATCTCTTACAGAACTCTGTTTTTTGTCATCTTCACTACGTCACAGACATTTTAAAACACTGTAGTTATTTCATTTTTAATGTATTTTTCTGCAATTTGCTTAACTTGCAAACATTACCGTCTTAGCATTACATGGCCGGGGGGCAGGGGCAAGACGTTTGAATTGTCTGACGTGTACAAAGCTTGGGCTCAATCCCTTAGACGTCATGGTGCTCAACACTGTAGCACCTAAGCTGTCTTGCCGTGCACTGCAGCCAGAGTCCTGAATAAATCATCTTAAAATGCATGAGATTAAGAAAGATTTTAGAAAGAACTATTCCTGTTGTCCCTGCTCTCAATTAGAGGATTAATTTGAACTTCATCTCCTTTATCCCCAATTAGTGATCATTATCATATGGTCAGTCATAAAGTCTTCCCCAGCTTCTCGCTCGCTGAAATTCCTAGCACATTGCGCCACGCCAACCCATGGAGTCTCCCCTGGACACACTTAGTACATGATGTCAGTGTTGCTGAAACTAATCTTTGCAATTTGATGCCCACATCACAACTCTAAAGAACCCACAACTAATCCAAGGGTATTGCAGTCTATTGCAATTTGTCATTCCTAGACATCTGAAGTACCTAGCTCTCCTCATTTCATTATTTCTTTAAAACCACAAAATGTTTCAGAATTAAAACAACCCTAGTTTCACCTCTCAAGGTAAAGGCTTAAAAAGTAGTCTGCAATTTTAGAGATAAATTTACAAAGAGGTAGAAAGAAATGCATTATTTGTTTCTGACTCTAAACAGCATGCTGATTTAGGTTTCCTTTCAAATGTGTAATTTGAAAACTTAGTTTTCACAATTCAAGAACATACTAGCAGGAAAAAAATCTCAAACTCCTAGTCTTTTGTGTTTTCTGTTTCATTTGGTGTAAATTTTTTTTTCCCCAGTTTTGACCAGTGCTGCCTTTTTATGCAGCTGGAGCAGTGAGATGGTGGCTTTCAGGACTTTCACACTTCTGTGGTGCTAGTTAACCTGCTTGGCTCAGCCTTGCAAGACATTAAGAAGCACTAGTTACCTGTACTTTATTGGCATCTTATCAACAGAATCTAAACAGGATGCATATAAATACTGTGAAGGCAGATTTTGCTTGGGTTGCTTGCACTGAGTAGCACTCACTTGACTAGATACCATCATTTCTAGTTGGTCTTGCAGAACTAATTACCAAAAGATACGAGTATAGTTTTTCTTTACTACCATCCGTCTTCCTTCCCAGCTACATGCATACAAGGCAGGTATGTTGGCAAAATTGGTTAGAAACTCACCAACGAGAGCTCAGCGTTGCTTATGAGCTGTAATGCAGGAGCTATTGAAGTAGCTTTAGGCACATTTGAGTGGCAAAAAATATTAGGTGCCTAAGACCTGGATTTAGGCACCTGAAGAGTTACGAGCTTTTAGCGCGTGCAAAGATGTCAGTCTGTGTTCCACATTGCAGTATCCATTCCTACGTTAATAAGCAGTAGGGGCTAGATTTCCCTCAACACATTTGCCTTTAGCTATAGCTGTGGGAAGCCTGTGATGATCATTAAAAGTCAAAATTCATCTATTTATGACAGATAATACTGTAGCAAAAGTGATGACTGGTCAGAATGCAAACAGAGCAATAACAGAGAGAAGAGCAACAACAGAGAAGGACAAAGTAAACCAAGTTCAAGCAACTCTAATTAAACTTTACCTCAGTGGAACAGTGTGCAGCTAGAGTGTTTATCTTCCATACAGCAGTACAGCATCTTGTTTTCCAAATAACTGCTGGGGGTTTGAAGCTTTTTTTGTTATGAATTATTTTAACCTAAAGAAACACCCCTGGGCAGTAGAAAACACAGTATAGCCACGTCTAACACAGTACCGCACGTCTACTGCAGACACTGGCCAAAACAGAAACACTGGCAAAAGTTAACAGAAAATGGAATTCAGAAAAGAGAATTTCACTGTAAAGTGTCATTGATAAAAGTTATCTTGGAGGATATTTGCATAGCTCCTCTTCACTGCAACAGGATGTTACTGCAGGCAGCAGCTGGCTCCAGAAGGGAATCCACTGGAGCTGATCAGGCAAGGACAAAAATTGGCCTAAAATTCTGTTTCAGTAACAAGTTTCTTTGATTACTAAGTCACACAAATGTAATAATGCTAATTTCATTTGGAAAAAAATCCCGTTAAATGAGGAACCATCTAGAAAAAGATTCGATAGATTAAATTAACAGGCCAATCCTGAAAATGGATTAAACTATATTGTGGAAGCTTAAGGTGATTGATACTGTTTCTGGGGATAGGAGTTATTTTTCCCTATTTTTGTTTTTTATTAAACTTTTTACCGTACCTGTATGAAGAGCAATTTAACGACCAAAGTTTTTCTTCCTATTGCTCACAAAAGAAATTCCTATTATTTTGACACCACAATTTGGTGGCTTTGAAAATGTTCAAGAATATCTCAAAACAAAAAAAATCTGTTAAATGAGGAATAAATATCCACAGCCCTTCAATCCACAGAATTTTCTGCATGGTCTTCAGTAATGCAGAACAAGAGAAGATGAAAAATAAGTCCGATGTGAAAAGTCTCTTCTCAGTGGAGCTGAGTTAGCTTTTAGCTGCTGTTATTTTCTGAAAGGTAAACATAATTAACAAACAGTACCTGCACTTTCTGGTGTAATCAGCAACAGTGAAGGGATTAAGTACACAGGACGCTGGCAGTGGGGGACTGAAGCTATATGCTAAGGCCTACCGACTTTATTTATATTTCAGTGATTTAAAGACTAAACAAAAGTACTATCATGTATAAATAAATTATTACAAGCAATTGCTCTGTAGCAAGATTGTTTTCTAGATCATATTTTGCCACATGTGAATTAAATGAAAGGAATTAGTAAGCACAGTGTCATAATTAACTCAGTCTGAGCCAAATGCTACCACTGTATTGTGTGTAAATATGGAGTGATTATGGTGTAGGTCAAAGAAGTGATTTAAAATTCAAAGCAGTCTTGTAAGTGATTTTGGTTCTCCTGATTTAGCAGAGAAAAAAAATAATTTACCTTTATTTCATGTTATTTTAAGACCACGATCTCGATCAAGGGACAGTGGTGATGAAAATGAACCAATTCAGGAACGATTCTTCCGGCCTCATTTTCTGCAGGCTCCTGGAGACCTGACTGTTCAAGAAGGAAAACTGTGCAGAATGGACTGCAAGGCAAGTATCACAGAAAGGATAGCAGCCATCTTTCTGCAACATTATCTGACTCAAAAACCAAATCAGTTTCTTTTCAAAAGCTATTTTACCTATTGGCAGTTTCAGCGACTGTCAATGGGTTAATTAATCTCACCGCTTATGAGGAAGTGGGCAATAAAAGTTTGCTTCCCCTCCAATTAAAGTGCTTCAGGCAAATCTTACAGCTCACAGTAAACCGGTTTTTAGAATTCAGCTATGCCGGGGCGTGGAGGGAAGCAGTACACACTACAAAGACAGCGTGCTTCTCCATTTTAAGTCCTTTTGCTACTTGAGTTTCGATCTCCCATTAAAGTTTCAAACAATATAATCTTGATTTATGACTTTGCCTAAAAGAATTCATCAAGGCTTGGATGAATTCTGTTTACTTTATGCTGATATATTGGGAGAAGCTATTTGTTTTCAAGTAGTATCCACAGCAAATGGCAGGGCTTTCAAAAGTACAAGACCTGTTCACACAGATGAAGCACTAACGAGCATAGGCAGTGCTATCTAAGTGGAATAGCACTTAAGAGTTCAATAATTAGTCAGCTAACATCTTTTTGTCTGCAACTTTTCCACATGAAGTTAATCTAGAAAGGAGTGTCTTCTCATTCCACCTGAATAGCAAACAATAAAAAAAAAGACAAAAGGTATCACCCTGCCTTTTGTTTTGCAATGTATTATTATTTAGCTTCTAGCATATCTAAACACTGATCTTTTTTCAGTCACGCCCATAAGACGTCACAGAATTCAGGGAGCTGGCCAGAAAGTAAGTGAATGAACACAACTGAGTCAATGTCTAATTCAGGACAGAATTAGATCTTTAAATCTTGTGGTACACCTGCAGTAGCAAACAAACCCAAGCTTCTCTGAAGTAACAAGTCAGGACTCCTCCGGTGTTTTATATGGCTAAGACTATTTCCCATTATTCTGTTTACACTTAAGGTTAGTGGATTACCAACTCCAGACTTAAGCTGGCAACTTAATGGAAGACCAGTTCGCCCCGATAGTTCTCACAAAATGTTGGTGCGTGAAAACGGCGTGCACTCCTTGATCATAGAACCAGTCACAGCCAGAGATGCTGGCATCTACACGTGCATTGCCAGCAATCGAGCTGGTGAAAATACATTCAGCCTGGAGCTCATTGTTGCAGGTAACATCTTCATGCTAAGCTTCCGCACCCAGCACTGTGAGGGTAACGTGAAAAAGGAAAATGTAAGTGCTGTAAAATGGCATGGTTGAGGGGTGGGGGTAAGAAAAAGAAACCTGGCAGTAACAGAACTATAGTATATTTATAGGCGATACACTCGTGTTATGTTGTGGTGTAAGTTGACTGGCATGTAACCTCTGTGCGTGCAGTTAAGAAAAGAGGGCTGTTGTCCTGAGGCACAGTTGAGGCCACAAACCAGACTCTTTACTTGAATGGGGTTTTTTTAATGGCAATTTGTGCAGACCCGTATCTACCATGATTGATTTGTGTGTTTCACAGCATATTAGACTAACGCCATTCCAGCCTTCTGGTAGAGCAGTTCCTTCTGTAATTAAAAGCCCATCCTTTTATGGACTGTAAAGGAGCACTGTTAACAAGCATGATGCAGCCAGTGTATCTCGTCTTCATGCTCCACATTTCAATTTTTTCAGGGAAGTGGGGGAAACCACTCACTCAGCTCTATTAGCGCTCGCTTTTGCCCTATTAAAATGCTGATGTGACTGTTTTCTTCAGAGGAACCAGGATTGGACTTTGTGATTAATGAAGACAACACTTAAGTTCCCTGCCACATGTATTTTTCGTTATTGGTTTTTAGCATGTTGCTGAAAGAAAGGCTACATTTTCATAGATTAGTGTCAACGTGACTGCAATCTTTATTTTCACAGCTAAGGAAGTACACAAAGCACCTGTGTTTATAGAGAAGCTACAAAACACAGGTGTGACTGAGGGATTCCCAGTGCGACTGGAGTGTCGAATCTCGGGGGAGCCATCTCCTCAGATATTTTGGAAGAAGGAGAACGAGTCCCTCACATACAACACTGACCGAGTGAGGTTAGACTGACTTAGAATCTTATCTCCCCCTGTATAACTTCAATGACGATTTATCCTGGTAACACAAATGAAAACCTAGAAGGTCATAAGAATGCTTTGTGTGAAAAGCAGCTCATAAATATTAACTAGTTATTGTAATAATTGATGATATTTACTCAAACTTGTGGCCAGCCTCGTGGCCGAGCCAGAATTAAAATGTTAGCTCTGTTTTCCATCCTTGGACTTAAACAACTATCTTTGCACTTTAAGCAAGTTGAGCAATAGTTTTTTTCTTCTAGAACTAAGACTTATAGAAATTTACTGGTGAAAACCTAGGCTCCTAAGTAAAGCTATCTGCTTCTCAGCAGAAACCTTGATTCATAACACTGCTGTGTAGTTAAGCAACTGAAATTCAGTATTTTATATTCTAAGATCTACAAACTTGTCTTGAATGTTCAATAATATTTTGTAGGAATGTTTAAAAGCAAACTCATGATATATTGCAAGAAAAGGAACTCAGTACTGATATGACACTGTAATAAATTATTGCTGTCCTTCTAAGTAACTAAATGTATTTCAGTACTTCATTCCTCAAGTTTTTTTATCCTTTCCCCAAAAAGTCTGGGTAAGTCCCTACTACTTAAATCAGATTTCCAGATATCTTAATCTGTAATTGTGAAAGAGAAGTTACTTTATGCATTTTTGCTTCTTAGTTTTTAATACAGGATATTAAACTGCCAAACTGTCAAGCATATTCAAGGTTTTATCTTCCACTTGCTAATTTCAGAGGAAGTTCTGTATGAATTAAAAGTGGACTATAATTAAACTGTAACTAGGATTGGGTTGGCTTATAATGACATTTTAAAACAGTCTATGCTGTTTTGCAATTTAAATAGTCATTTTCTACTTTTCTTTTGTTTAGCATGCACCAGGATAACTACGGCTACATTTGCCTGCTTATTCAGGGAGCTACAAAGGAGGATGCCGGCTGGTACACCGTTTCAGCCAAGAATGAGGCTGGGATTGTGTCTTGCACTGCCAGGTTGGATGTTTATAGTAAGTGACTTCAATTTTCACGATCGCATTAATCCCCCCAAAAGCAAAAGTCCTGTAAGTTTCAGTTTGTTCACGGAATGGTTTACATTGGTCTCTCTTTCTTTTGTTTATAGTTTCTCCTCAATAATAACGATCCACATCAAGACAACAAATGCTCTGTCAAAGTATATTTCACCATCTTTCAGATACCTAAAGCAAAACAAGCATGCATGCTTTCTGTTTTTGCTTAGTATATTAAATATAGCTAATTAACAACAGATAACGGCATGATTACATTATTTTTGTGGATCATTATTACTATTGCTCTGCTAGCACTTCCCTAACCTTTTGTATTCTTTTGTACATTAGTCTGTAATACACCTGTGACAGCTACCAGAAGTGTACTACTAGATGTTTTATGGCTTTCTGCTTAATTATTCGGTTTGTTCCAAAGCAGCTCCTGACATAGTGAATGTTCTCTTAAACCAAAATCTCTTACCAGTCTTCCCATAGCAAGAGTAAGTGGGGGGTGGGGTGGAGAGAGACTGGAATGATAAACGATGGTTTCTGTGGTGGTAGTGAGACTTGCAAATTGGAGACTTGGCTCAGCATTCTTCAGCGTACGAGGGGTGGCAATGGCAACCACATGATTTCCTTTCATACACAACAAATAACCCTCGAACAGGCCTGTCACTGTAATAGCAGTGCACGGAAACAAACCCCTTGCTGTTACCCTTCTCAGTGACACAAGGGAAGGTAGGAAGCATTGCCAAAAAGGCAAAGTAACACACATAGACACTATTGTTTTTACTTACCACATCTGAAGGTGAAACTAGATGCTGAGGAAAAAAACCACCACCGAGATACGAAACAAACTTACCTTTGATATAATGGTTTTCTGCTGCTCAGAAGTTAGTATCTCCTTTACAAAGAGTTGACTGTGCATCTGGCACGCTTTGTTGCACAGCTTGAGATGCCTAACATTTCTTCTTTCCTTCTTGATCTATAGCTCAGTGGCAACAACCACCTCAGACAACCAAGCCAAAGAAGGTGCGGCCCTCAGCCAGCCGATACGCTGCACTTTGTGACCAAGGACTAGACATCAAAGCAGCTTTCCAGCCTGAAGCAAATCCAGTCCACCTGACGATGCAGTCTGGCTTGGTAGAGAGCGATGATCTGTAGATCCAGCTGCCGCTTCCATCATTTTCTTTCGAAGCAGAAACACTGAAAGCCATTGTCTTGACCAATGATACTCCTATGTCACTTTATGCAAAGGCAGACACCTTCAAGTACAAAAGATAAACAACAAACACAGTAACCATATATTTCTTATTCATTATGCCAAATTAGAATAGATAGATTATTAATAGAAATGTACACATTGCACAACACATCACATTCACCAGTTCCTTATACCTAAGTTGCTTCAGCTCTTACGAATAACCCTTTTCATAAAGGCCAAAATACATCAGAGAGACAGATTTTTCAGAAGAGAACACTATTTATCACTACATGCCTTCATATGCAGTAAGCAGATGCTACACAATCTTAATGGTGCAAGATGTTTTACTTGACGCCATTAGATCACAAAGAAAATTAGAATGTATGGTTATCTATAGTTCTAAAATGGCAATGCATTCTGATAGCTACAAAGAACAAGTGCAATATTGTAAGAATAAAACAGGAAGGGACAAGGAAAAGAAACGTAAGCAAATACTGTTATCTCTGCAAACTGCTTTCTATTCTACAATGAAAAAAATATCTTGCCTTAAATGCTGTTAGTATGGACAATTTTATAAAGCAACATCAACACCGTAACTTTAAATTCTTTTGTATTTTTTCATTTTGCCATCTAGGAGGAGGCTTACTTACAAACATACAGCAAAGACAGTTTAAGCATAAGCAATTTAACCTCTTCAAGATAATGAAGAAAAAGAGCTGACATGTAATAACAGTCTACTCCAGACCATAAATACTGGTAACTAGATGGGAAAAAAAATGCTGACAGTATGAACCACTGCAGTAGGATACTGCAAAGGCTGGGAGGGGGACAGGGCAAGAGGGTGCAACTCTCTATGGATTTTCTGAAGACAGTCTGTAACCTCCTAATACTCCCATTCAAGAATCTGAAATTCTAAGGTGAGCTGAACACTAGGGAGTGTACGTATGGGATGTCTGACTGTTTAAAGCTTGTGTAACGTGTATGAGGATTTTAGAAATGTATAGTAAGTGAGAAATGGGTTGAGACTGCAATATGAATTGAAATGACAAGTATACACCACAGGTGATAAGCTTGCAGATCTGAGGAAGTAGAAAATGAAGATGGGCAAAAATAACATCAAATTTGCGCCTTTTTTTTCTTAACATAGCATATGTCTCTGGTAGATTTCACTTTTTTCTTCTGATTGTAGGCAAATGACAGCTCTTTTAATGGGTAGAGTCTGTGCACCGTAGATGAAAAGCCTGAAGGCTACTTTCAGAATGCAAGGCAAATCCACATCAAACTGGAGCCCCGCCTAAGTCAGACCTGACTAGGGAGTTTTAAATTGGAACCAAATGAATTTACAATGAAGGGGGGGAGGGACAGAAGAATTACTAGGCCTGACAAGGAAAATAAGCATTTGATGGTACGAGCTATGATTCTTTGCTATGAAAGGAAAACACTGTATTCCTTATATGAAGCACATATATGGTATCTTTCATTATTTATAATAAAAGTGTTGAAATCTTTTATTTCAGTTCAGTTATTCAGAAGTCCTGTACCTAGGAGGGTTTTGGTTTTTTTTTTTTTGTAATTGTGTACACCATATATTGCATTACTGCTATACGTGTATTGCTTTGTAAGTACACAAAGTTTGTTTTGTTTTTTAGTGACTAATAAACTTTAGCACGTAAGGTAGTACTATTCTGGTGCAGGATATGACCAGTTATGGGGATCGTTAATCTAGATTAACGTCATAGTCTGTCATCTGGGAATAATCTGATTCTATTCTAGAAAAAGTGTGTCATATCACTTGCCAAATTTTTCTTGACTGTGACATGCTAGTTTACTTTTTGTTTAGCTTCACTAGCATTATTTTGCCACCTTTTATTTGTATTTATAAAAAAATGTATTATCATTACTTTGGATTGTTGTGCTGATACAATGTGGGTTTAACATCAATAAATATTACACAAATAAATAGAAAGTTTTCCTTCTGATAAAGACTATTAACTGTTTCAGTACAAGCATGCAAGTGTAAGATTTAGAAATTTTAAATATTACAAATGCAGATGAAATGAGGGCTATATGCAGCATCTAAAAATTACTAGAATTTATCAGAATATGCTGCTTGCGACCTGGAGTCTTGTTAAAACAAAACAGAGGAACATGACCCATACATTCTAAGAAACATCTTCTGAATAAAAGTACTAGAAGATGGGGTTTTTTTAATAGGTTAGAAAATATGCAGGTCTATGTTGAGTGTCAAGTAATTGCTATATGACAAATATTGCAAAAGTGACAAATCACAACTGATTCTAAGTACAGTGCATGGTCCAAGCACTGTTTTAAAAAAATGTTAATATTTACTTGTAAAATCCTGAATATTAACTAGCTTTTCCTTCCTCCCTTTCTATGCAAAAATAACAGGAAAGATGCAAGATAATAAATTTTTTCTTTTAGGTTTACATTTTAAGCCTTGATCACTACAAACAGAATTATCTCAGCAATTACTGGTGATATGGCAACTGAAGTCAATGCAGTTCTGTCTGCTTACAGTAAATTTGTCTTTGGCTTAGAGACTAAAAAACTGAGCCTGCTCTTGTGAGCTGGTTTAAGATGAGGTCATCATCACTTTTTGCCTCTGTATATATGTACAGACGCACACTTAAGTAGTAAATCACATCTCTAAGCAGCAAAGTTGTTTTTCTGAAAACATTCAGCTGTGCTGTTCCTTAGTAACTGGGACTGTTTGGGTTTACAAATTCAGAGATAGAAGTGTGGCACAAGAAAATGACATACTTTTCAAGCCAAAAATCTGAAATTCTTGGAAGCTTCAAAGTAACTTTCAGAAGTTTAATCTCCCTCCACAAACTCAAAAGATAGCAAGACCTGAAAATGTACTTTTATCATTTTATAGGACTATACGAAGAAGTCCTAAATTTTTGCAAGACTTCAGGTTTAGTTACGGGAAGAGTTCAAATTATGTAGGAAGTTGCTCAGTCCAAGTGTATTCAAAGCAGTCAAAGACTCAATGCAACTACACTCAGGATGACGACAGAAACCTCTGTTAAGAGCACCAGCAGCAATGTGCATGAAGGTTTTTTTCAGCTGGTGGTGTGCTTTAACACACAATGCCTGCCTTCATCCTGCAACTTCAGGACAACAGCAACCAGTAGTTAACATAATTTTTTTCCATCACAGCCAGCTGGGGGTAGGGATCAAACCCAAACTATAGTCCAATTTGAAACCCTAGCTTATAAATCATAGTTTCTTTCTATATTACCACTTTCAAAGACCATTCTAATTCACTTAGGTTGTATGCTAATAAATGCCTCGATTCCCCACATATGGACAACTACATCCTTATCTCTGCAAGCAGCCCAAACGGATTTAATATGCAAGTACTTCATGAGATCATATTATCCATCATGTCATGATGCTGAAGGGATTGGCTGCATGCTCTGGCTGTACGACCCAGCCGCCAAAGCCACACTGTGTAGTATAGATGGATTAATACATGGACTGGAAATGCCTGCTCAGGTTATGCACATTGACTACAGACCTGATTCACTGCCTCCCAGTTCAGCTGCACCTGCAAGGGGCAGAATTTGCTGACTTTTAGCTCATTCACCTGAACTGACTAAAAGAAAAAGCCCTCCCCCTGCACAGTTCTGTTTGCGCAGAACCATGAGCACGTAAGACACGTCAGGCAGATAGCGGAAAAGACAGCTCATGCCCCAAGAAATTTACAATCTGTTCCAGACAGCACACAGTATTCTTTAACGTGTCTTAAAGCTTGCGTCTCTAATTCAGAATTAAGCCACAATTTGCTTCCTTTTACAAAAGTAGTTAATACATAAAATAATCCCATACTACACTGAATCACTAATAAAAATGTCAGTGTTCGGAACATAATGCTCAACTCACGCTTAAGAACAAAAAAGCCAGACTACAAGCAACAGTACATGTATGGCAATGATTTCAGCAGCTATACAGAGGAGGAAGACAAATGAGCTGCAGTCCAACACCACAAGGAAGGAGAAATTTTTTGCATTATAAAACAGCTGCAGCGCAACAGGTAAACCCTGGGGAAGGGCCAGGTCTCACAACTGCTGTCACTTCCTAGTTCTGTGGTAGCATAAATGGTCCAGAAACAGCTGCAGAACAAGAAAGGAGAAAAAAATAACAGCACGTGGCCACTGCTCAGAATGATTACATCATTTACTGCAGGAGCTCTACAAATCTCATCACACTGAATGGATTAGATTAGATTGGGGTTCTTTTGCCTGAAACTGTTCTGTTAAACACACAACTAAACATATTGTCAAGCTTTTTTTGGCCGACTCTTGGCCCAGACATCACAGAGTCTTTCTACAAAGCAGAACAGAGGGTACAAAAAATACATTGCCAAGGACAGGACCTTTCCGAGCTACTGCAAAAGGTGTTGAAAATAATAATACCTCACAAGATAAGACTTCCCATACAACAGGCAACACGCCTCTACCCTACGGCAGGTGAAGAACTAGTGGATTTTGGAGATGGCTTTTACCCGCAGCGTTTGTCTGAGCAACTGCTGGAGTCATTTGGAGGAAAGGGCCTGCCTAAAAGAAAACCTGTTTTACCACATTATTCTACAGTATAATGCACAATTCTCTATATTAACATATTAACTCACTTCCTCCTATGATACTTCAGAATCAGATTCACTGAACATTTTTGTAATATACTGCTAATCTACAATAGTTTTATCTTTCTTAAACTCTGTATTAACTTCAGCTGTACAATCTCTGATCATTTACTAATTCATGTATAATAACATATAATAAATGAAAACCTAAAGTAAAATGTAATTCTTCCACCAGTACAACCGTTTCTAAATCCAAAGATCTTGAACTGTACATGAATGATGTAATTTCAGGTATGCAACAGCAGCAGCTTTCAAAAATTTCAGTTTGCTAAGCTCCAGATCCACTTTCCACTCAGAAAAAATGTATAATTACATAATGCAGATGTCCAAATCTGAAATAGGCTCTGTTAGTTGTTTCCCTCAAAGTCCTGTATATGAAAAGCATAACAAGAGTTAAAAATCTTAATAGAAGAATGAAGTAATTTTTAAAATTCTTCTGAGCCACAAATCCATAAACGACCAACTTCATAAAAGCAGAACAAAGTTTTCACTTGTGCTTATTAGTGTTTTCTTGCAACATATAAAAATGGGTATAAGAAAAGGCACAGCTACCACTAGTAACTGTCATTCTAAAATAATGAATTTCAGGTCAGCCTATACATCCTGAAAGCGGAGATGGAGTATCACAGTGTTTCCAGTCACTAATTCCAAGGAATAAGACATCAGAGATCTGCCTTTGCCCAAGACAAGTGGCATCCAAGCCTAAGGTGAGGCGGAAAAAACATGGGACCGTGAGGGGGGGGGGGGGGGGGCGGGGAAAAAGGCTGATGATCAGTGCATCTCCACTGCCCTCGCTTCAGAGTTCAGATTTGTCCTGGCTGCTTTTGGCAGATGTCAGGTCAGAATACAGGACTGAACTCATAGTCAGAGGAAGCTGACATAGCAGAGCATTAATCAGCCGTTAGTACAGTTCCTATTAACAAAGGGTAATAGAGTAAGGGGAGCTCAAATGAGTTGTCCTTTTTAGAGCAAAACTAAGTTTATGACTATGGCAATGCAAGTACCTCTTCACGGACAGCTTCAGCTGAATATGTCTGAATAAATAATTTCTTATGAACAAAACTCGCCTCCCATATTAATATCCTAGTATATTTGGTTCTCCCCCAAATGGAAAGATGCCACCTTAATTAATCAATGAGAGATACAGGCACATGACAAGCACTACTGGAAGCCAGATAACACAGCATTAGGAAGAAAGGCACCATGGTGCTAATAGAAACAAAGATTTAAGAGAAAACTTTGTAAACAGCTTTGCAAAACCGTGTAGTAAATTAACCTCGCTAACCTAATATTTACAGGTCAACTGAATACAGCTTCATGGCACAGCAGAAAGCTTAGCACGACCTCCGCTCTGGTGCTCTGAAAATTATGGTGAACTATAAAACTACAGACGCTCTCGGTTCTATATGCCTTCCAACAAAAAAGCTACAAGAACCTGCAGAGAATGGATGCAGTTCCACTCTACCACTGGCAGAACCGTCTCACCGTCAAAAATCACATATGCACACTGAATGGCATCCATACAAAACACATGCAGTGACTATGTTGTTTCTTTTCTCTAGGGTTCCAGGAAGTTTTCAGTAGAAATCTACCAACTACCTGAAAAAAATAGGATTAAAAGTCAGATTGACAGCAGCAGGAAGCAGAACACTCTAACTTAGAGCTTTTAACACGTCTTCAACATACGGGTGGAGATCTGTTTATAATACAGCCTCCAACATATAGGTGCAACATGTACTTGTAGTGCATTTAGCATTAGAAGTACCGAGCTGGGAGATCTGCAGATTAGAATTCACAAAACATCAAACTGCTTCACACTAACATGCTTCAGCAATACCATATAGTCAACTTGCAGTTATCCCTAAACAAATTGTTCAAAATAACACAGCAATTTCAAACTCGTCAACATGCTATGCATGCAAGGCCACCTCAGCGGTGTCAGCCAGCAGTCTGGGAAACAGTAACACCCACGCAGCTCCATTTGCTCAGGCGGTGTTAGCTCAGCAATGTCTGCCCCCCATGCTCCCACTGACATTATCCTAATGCACATATAACGATACCAAGGAAGATTTGGTGGCTTTTACTTGTATGTTTCTCAAAACGTTTGCCATCATCATACCCAAACTGGCAATTTGTTACCAGATCCTCAAGTAGCCAAAGCAATTTTAGTTTTAATGACTATGACAGAAAGATTCATTTTTATTTCAGAATACGACACTACAATGGTGAAGTGCACAAAAGAAAAAAAGGAGAAAAAAATAGAATTGGATCTGATGTATGTAAAGAGTGAAAAAACCACAATTGTAGGTTTCAATGTCATATTTTGTTCTATGAAAGGAACAAAAAATATCCTAGATCTTAACAGATATAGGTAATATTTGTTACTAACTCAATAGACATATCTAACAAAAAGGAGCCTTCAGCACACAGTCTGAAACTGAACATAATGTGTGCCTGGAAATAAAATGTAATCTGGGGCTTCAGCAGAGTTATTGAAGAGCCAATGCTCTTTAATGACTTCTCTCCACCACTACATTTTCCCTGTCTTTTCAAACACTGATTGATTACCTGAATTAAGTGAGTGTACCTGGTCTTGGAAAGTTCAGTTTTCATTAGCTTTACTTAAATGAACTACACTGTGCTTAAAAGAAAAAAAAAAAAACAAAAAAAGTCACATAATTGCAACTGGCAATACACATTTCAGTTTCATGCAATACAACCTCTCACACTACACAACACATCAAAGGGGGAAAATTTGCCTAACAGCAATACATAATCGTTACAATGTATGTTTTAACTGTAGGGAATAATGTAATAAAAAGATTTTGAAGACTGGGCTTTAGATATCCACTTTCTATCCAAATTTCACTGAACTCAATATTGAAATCCTTTTATCTTTAAAAATCATGCCTTATGTCCCCAAATAGCTCAGGATACATGGATTTGGATTTTACAAAACTGCTAACAGCAATGCCAGCTGTCAACTTTGTATCTACACAGGCAACTCCACTTCAATAAGACTACATAGATACACTAACCCAGTATTACCAATATGATAATGCCTTAGGATAGACTGCCCTCACGAGGCCAAAATGAAATCTCTTCATGGATATCTCACACTAACACACTAACTCAGAACACTTTATATGCATGTTACCATAAAAGAAAGTCTGCAAAAGCTGTTCCTCGTGACAGCTCCTACTTACAGCTGCAATATTTAAAAAAAAAAAACCCCTCACTAACATTTTGAATGTTCTGCTAGAAACTTCTACTGATGACAATCAATTGCAATATGTGCCTCAAAAGTATAAAACTAACATAGTGAGTTCACTACAGCAAGTACTAAGTTACAAACACATCTCTTAAGAGAGAAGCAGGAGAAGTAAGGCTCCAACGGTACTTAACAAAAGACTATAGGAGAGTTTTAGGCAAAACAGCAGACAAAGAAACATCAGATGAATAAAAAGCACATGCTCTCACTTCCACTAGGAATGGAATCACAGAAACTTTGTTATGTCTAGTAAAAGAGTGGACTGAAATTTTCAAAAGTCAGCTGAGAAATCATGATAAGTAAGTCAAGCACACAGTCCTACTCAAGAACACCCACATGCAAAAAAGCCCAAACCATTTATATATAGCTCAGCATAACTGCTAGCAGCACAAGATGTAAAAACCAAACATCTGTTTTTAATCAAGGACAGTGACATAACAGGCATACCAGAAATATGATGGAAGCAAGACAAACAAGCAAGACATTGATACAAAATACATAGGAAAGTAATCAAATGAGATATCAATATATTAACTCATCAAATCAAATATGAATTGAATTTCCAGGCCTAATAAGGTAAACTCTGTTGTCAGACAATATTATTACCAATGCAATTAAGATGATGGCAGTAGCTATGACATCCAAAGACTATAAGGCCAGCAACATAACTGTAATGAAAGACAGCAATTACCAGCAGGTTGGACAAATGTCACACTGAAGATATCAAGATGACTTTTTTTTTAATATATTTTTTTCATGCAGCCAGTGAAGGACACCCAACTCTGGCTGCAGTCCCCATGAGCATACAAGACCTGACTCAAAATGGTAACTTTTATTTCTGTGAGAACATTGACAAAGCTTATTAATAAAGACAACAGACCACAACTGCAGACTTCCATAAAAAAGGAGCAACATAAAATAAGGAAATATGCTAAAATGAAATAAAAAAGACAAGTCAAAAAAATTAAGATGCAATGCTTGATGACAACACTAAGATGGTATGCACTGAACTTCAGTATGATGACTTTAAAACACACACACCAAATTAAACTTTTTTTGTGGGGAGGGGGAAGCTGACAGGGATTAAAAGCTACTAGAATTTAAGTCAACCTTTGTAAAACCAGCAGTCTAGCTTTAGCAGTCAAACAGAATCTGTCACTGAACGTAAAATTTATAGATAGATCAGAATGTAGAGGAACAATTTACAAAAGTGCACACAAACTGAACAGCACTTCAGGAACAGGAAGTGTGCCTGAATAAGGCAAGCAGATGATGGAAATAAAAAGCAAAGGGCTCAGGGGAGGCGAGGCCACAGAGAAAAAAAATCCCCAAACTCTGAACAAAATCCTGAATCAGTTTTTGGTACCATGCAGGAACCATGAGCAGAACCTCTACAGGCAACTCACTGAAGGTTTCACCCCTCAGAGCAAAACATCAGAAGAGGTTACAGAGGGAATAGTAACAAATGGCTGGGGCTGGGGGCTACCACTCCCTAATTCTAAGAGAAATCAAGTAACTGCAGGGTGAAACTTCTGCGTTAAAACTGCCTCATTAGCAAATGACTGGAAGCTGGCAAAAGTGACAGCAAGCTTTTGGGAATTTTGTGGGTGGAAGAATCACTTGTTTTTTAAGAATAGATTCCAGAGGGATCCAGGGAACTACAGACAAATCATATTTTTCTGTACAAACTGCCAGAAATTTTTCTAAAGCCTTGAAAACAACCAGATAAACATACTGAGGGAACTCAGTGTTGCTTTTGCAAAGGGAAGTCATGTTTAATAAACATTTTAGAGTTCTTCTAAAAAGAGATGAGAGAAAGGAGATCTAATACAGCATGCTTGAAATTCTAAAAGGCATCTGACACATTCCCTTGCCAAAAACCATTAAAGATGCTGTGCTGCCAGCAGAAGTTGTCGTATCAGTAAACTGTTTAAAAGATAGAAGAGAAAGGGTATGAATCAGCAGTTCTTTCCTAAGGACATGGATTGCCAAGAGAACACCACAGGCACCTATACTGGGGCTAGCAAAGTACAATCTATTCATAAGGGTTCTGAGACAGCAATTTCTAAAAGCCACAGTATATTCTAGTAACACTAAATTACTCAAAGTAATAAAGGGATAAAGGAATTAAACAAAAAATTGCAGAACCATTTCACTGAGGAAATAGGTCTTAAAACCATCAGATTAAATTCACTGTAGAAAAATGAGAACAATTCACACTGGGGAAAATACAAAAAATCAGTCGTAAATACATATGTAAGGAAATGGGCTCCAAGCTGCCCATTAATTATTTAGGACTGAGTTGTTGTTCTTGTATAGCTTCTGAAAACTAAGTGTAAATGTTAGGAAAAGGCAAAACAATTAGGCATTCTTTTTGGAAGCAATACAAAACAAAACACAAAACATCCTATTTTTTTTTAGATAAATCCACAGTGAACACTGTGAGTGGTTCCACCTGCTCCTCCCTCCTTGAGAAACTGGAAAAGTTAAGGGACAACAGAGTTGACATAAGGTACAAACGAGCTTTCCAGCAGCAAGCAGCTAAAAGAAATATGACTCTTAAGTTTGAAACAGAAACAACTGGGGCAGGCAGAATACGATACAGGTCTACGAATTCAAGGACAACACAAAGAGAGCACAAGAGGGTTGTTATAATGTCTCATCAAATGTAAGAACTTGCAGGCCTCAACCAGAGCTATCAGATGGCAAACATGTCAATCACAAACTGATGGAGGTACAAGAGTCTTCTAAGGAGACCACCACACACTTGATCCATTACCTACCCTATACATTCACTACTTCCACTGTCTGAGACATCACACCAGGCAAGAGAGAACCCTAGTCTGACAAACAGATATTTCTTCTTAGAGTACAGGTACACAGTACACGCTGAAGTGGATTACTGTTTTTAACTAGTTTTCAGTTCTAATTTACCAGTTTGAAGTAAAGGGAAATAAAAGGTCTTTTAAAAATACAACTTTAAGACTACCAACACTTCAATCTAGTCCTATAGCAACAGGAGCAATAAAAAACATAGTATGTATTGCGACGTTTTTAAAAAATTACTTAGCAGCATACTGAGATTCTTCTGAGGGTGTAATTCCAGGTTTTAATCACAAATATAAACTAAAAATGCCATTGCTAATAACATTTAACAGTTCCCTTAACAAAAAACCCAAGGGATAATAATAATTAGGGTCAGAACTCACTAAGAGGACGTTATTTTTAGTCTCTTAATTTTGGCTTCCGGTCAAGATATTCACACAGGCTTTGCCTGTCAAATACTAAGGACAGGTAAGGGCAGCAGCCAAGTTACTGACATATTACTACTTAACTAAGAACAGGAGTACCAGCTGTCCTTCCTCATCTTCAGTGCCCTCAGAAAAAATTCATCTATTCTCTGGCCAATTCCTCCTATCAAAGAGAAACATAATTAGCAATTACATTTTTGGTGCAAAGATACGTATGATGCATAACTTTTCACAGCAAATAACACCATCTTTCTACAAAGAGATAACAGTAAGATAAGGACTCCTGAAAGGACTACCTTTAGTGGTATTTTATATTCCAAAGTAACACAACCAACTGTAACACCCCCTGAATATACAACCATTCCTTGTATTATTTCTCAGTACATACCTACAAGAAGCTTGAACATGCACTGTGTTCTGGCACAAAGACAAAACTTCTCAGCTGCACAAGTGAAGAAAATCTCAGACTTTTAAAGACTCAAAGTTATCATCAGTGAGATCTCTTCCTTCTGTACTCCAGGTTGTGCCAAGACGGGAAGTAATTTCAAAAGCTGAATCAACATCTGGATCAAGATGCAATGAACACTGGAGCTAAGAAGTAAAGGTCCCAAACCACATTCATAGTTTTCTTCAGAGATGATAAAAACATCAATTACCAAAAATTACTTGATCTCAATAGAAAAGCCTGAGGCCAAATTTTTGGTAATTTTTCATGAAGAGAAGAACACTCAGGATCATTTACAGCTGAATAATTACTCTGCTTCAAAAGCTGCTTTGAATAAAATAAATGGCTATTTTATTGACTATACATACATATTAAAGAGCATCAACATAACACAGTTGAACTGAGCGTTCAAAAAGATATACAGCAATACACCTTGACTTCACGCTCTGGAAATGAGATGTGTTTTCTAAACATCTACTGAGCCAGTGAAAAGTCTTTTATGCAGCAAGGCCTGCAACTGTGCTGTTCACCAGTGTATGTGCAACTCAGACTCAGAATATTACAAAATTAGCAACTCAAATGACCAATCAACAGTCCTTCAATATATATACGCAAGCATTACTGGATTAAATTAGTGCTGTACATACATTCAAGAATGGAACTGAGCATGTTTTGTCTTCATAAAAACACACTGCATTTAATTAAATCTCCTAAAGGCAGTTCAGGTATGCTGAAGATATAGAATCTCCTAGCTTTGTAGTGTTAGCTACAAACAAACAAAACCCAAAGGAAACTCCTTGCCACTTTGTAGGGACTAACTGATAAGAATAAAAAATTATACAGTTTGCAATCTTCACCCTACATGAAAAACTTGATGCAATCATACCTGCCATACATGCCTCTGCACTTTAACCTTTGTGTAACATGATGATTCGAATAAAATCTCCACTCTATCCCAAATTGGAAAACATGATTTTATAAAAATACAGTGCTTTAAAAATGTATCGGCATTTTACTTAAAACTATATCAAACCCAGACATTTTTCTAATTGTTACATACATTGACTTCATAATACCAAATTACTCTTTTGGGTAGCTAAACACACAAGCTGGAACCCATTGCTGCTGAATTCCGCCTCGGACTAAAGAATATCAAGTCAATACATACATCAATCTTCAACTAATTGCTGCACACCCCCCTTAATTATTATATATTTAGATATTACCATCATGACATTTAAGTAGGTACTTATTCAAGGTAGTATTTAAGTCAGAAGCTGCAAGCCTCCATCTACAATTAGAGTACTCCCTGTAACATAAGGGGACTCCAGAAGAAAGACAACAGCTTGTGCAACTTCACGAGGCTCTCCAAATCTTCCAAGGAGAATTGCTTTCTTCAGCTGATCTTCTTCCAAATGAGCGGTCATCTCCGTGTGAATAAAGCCTAAGAGAAGAGAGATATTTGAAGAGTTACCTAACCTTCAGCTAAATTTCTCTAGCAGATTTTCCTTGGAATCCTCCAAAGTGAAATTTACTACCAGGATTCAGCACTAGCTACCATTCTTCAAAGTCTCAGAAGTCAGTCCACATAATTTTATAGCCAAGAACAAATTTTTAGCTAAGCAATAAAATGTCTTCCGTTTTTGGAAGCACTGATGTAATCATAAAAACGCAGAGATCTGTATAAGTTTATGAAAAAAAAAAGGTAACTCTAAAATTGGGCCCCAAAACCATATTTAGTACCACTTTCCTGATAGACAAAATAGTCATTTCACCAAAACATTCTCAATAAAAACATGGGTATAAAATCTCTGACAAGAAACCCCTACAGCTTGCAAGTGTTTCCATTGTATTTTAGAACTTACAATGGCACCTACATAATTTCTATTATAGCACACATTTGAAGAGTATTTCTTGACAATGTTGAAGGACATTTCTTTACTATTTTCAGTTACCTGAGATTCATTTTTCCCACTGCTGCACTTCTCTTCACATAAGCTGCAGCTTCATAAAGAACTGATCTTATCTGCTTTCTAGCTGCCACCAAGAAGGGAAAGTCTCAGTTTTGTTTTCTTCTGTACAACTTTATGATGACACTGGACTCTTCAGTGAGCTGCTCAACTCACTAAACAATAAAACAATAAAAAGTATTTTTCCTGCCTAGTTCACAAGCTGAACTGTTTCATAGAGAGGTCTGAAAGGCATTAGAGCTAGCACAAGGTGAGCAGCAGAGTACACAGCTATGAGTGGAATTCCTTAAAGGTGGTGGTTTGCTCAGACTAGATTGTCTTGTGAAATGACAGCCTTGTCCTCACAGAACTTTCCAGACTCTCCTTTTACTACAGGGATAGGCAGGGATGCTTTCATGCCAGCTTCTTGTGGTTTTTCATGTTTCTCTACTAACAAATAAGCATTCTCTAGCAGGAGACAAGGGTAGCTGTCTGTATATAATTAGTTCTAATCCTTCCATCTGCAAGGACAGCAGGTTTTGGAGGAGCAACAAAGAAAAAAAAAAAAAAGACATTTATCATGTAGTAATGGATAGAGGAATAGGTACACACTCTTCCAAATTTCTCAGTGTTCCCTTAAAAAGACTGAACATTTTGTAAAAGAATGTATTATTCTTTAAACTGAAAAAAAGAGATTAAAAGCATTTACATATAGAAGTTGAAGAAAATAATAGCAATCTGTCTTAAGTTATTTTCAGAGCACAGCAAATATCCAGCAGTCTTGATGACCATGTATTGCAACAGTCAAGGATGTAGGAACTTCCCAAAAACTAACCCGGAGCAACCACGTTGACTCGAATTTGCTTTTTTGCTACTTCTTTAGCAAGAGAGCGTGAAAATCCAACTAATCCTGCCTTGGTAGCACTGTATACACTTTGACCGGAGTTGCCTTTAAGTCCTACAATACTTCCTAAAAAAAAAGAAACAACAAACAGAAGAAAAGATTAAATGACTAATCTGAAACCTTGTACTAGCTTTATCATTTTAGTTTTAAATTTGGAATGGAAAATGAGATTCCAAGAGAAGGAATTAGAAGTATATTACTAAATGTACTTTATAGCCTGCTGCTGGGATACGCAAATCCCTCAATTATCTGTGATTTTTGTGGAATCCATATATCTATGTTGACCAATAGGCACCAGGAGAGTAAAAAGAAGAGCTTTCTAAAAAAATATGCTTGCATAGGAAAAAAAAAAAGAAACCAACTGTACCTATTTGATGCTTAGTTAATAACTAGCAGCTGGTAGATTTAGCTACTGAAAGAGCTGATAAAAAGCGGTAAAATTCTTTTTTCCATAAAATGTAAACTCTGAGGTGTTTATTACTGCAAAAAGCTGGTTTTACATTTAGAAGTTGCTGAAATTACACAAAAGAATAAGCATTCGTAAAAAAATGTTAAATATAGAATGTCTAAATACAAAGAAAAGTAAATTGTAACAAGTAACATTTCAATGGTACACCTGCTAAACCTTTCTAGAAAACTAGTACATAGAATTCCACTGGATTAGACAAACAACTTACCTATATTGACAATAGCACCTCCCTGTTGTTGAATCATGCTTTTCACAGCAGCTTTGCATGTCAACATTGTTCCCAAAAGGTTAGTGTGAATCTGGGCTATCATATCTTCAGTCTTGGTTCTCAGTAACAAACCATCCCTGACAAACAGACCAAAAAACCCAAAAGAATTCACTGAACAACCCCAATGATCACATTTACTCATAGTAAAACATGACTGATGAATGGAATATTAATGGGGATTTATATGGTTCTATACATTCTAGCATTCAAACTGATGATGCTGCAAGGATGACACATAGCAAGAAAAAAGTTAGCTATGCTTTTGGCAACAAAGCCTCCTTTGCAAAGAAGTATCAAACATTGTTTGGCACTATTTCAGGGGGAAGAAGTGGAAGAAAGAGGCGTAGAGGGGGAACTCATAAACTTGGAATGCAGAAACTACAGTGAAAGCTGTATCATCTGTTAGAATTTTACCATTATCAGGAACAAAATATTGGTGAGTGCTTAATACTGTTTTCAGATGTACTCATTAACAATACTTTTACTACATGCAAAGGCCCTTAGCACCTTACAATAAGATGCTGTCTTCTAGAATTACATACAATCTTGTAACAAATAACTAACCTGTTGATCCCAGCCGCATTAACCAAGTAGTTAATAGGACCTAAATTCCTCTGCATCTCCTCAAAAGTATTTTGGACTTCCTGTTCGCTTGATACATCACAGCTAAGCGCCAGATGTCCTGCTATATTGAAATAAAGGCACATTATAATAATGGTAAAAGTTGGTATACCATTCATAGACCTTCTTCAGCATTTATCAATTGCAAAAACCCATGCTGAATTAGTGATAACTTGAGGAACCCATTTAACCTCCAGAGAATTAAATAAGGATAATTTTCAAGTATTGTACTGATTAGTTATGTGACAATTTCTTGGTTTATATTTTTGGCCGTTTGAAATCAAAAGTTCAGCATGAGCAGGCTGGTCTCAGTTCTGGCCTGGCCAGGAGCCAAGGATGACTCAATTCATACGACCTCCCTGTTGTGACCTTGAACAATTTCTTTCATCTTACAATTCATATCTTGCAGATAGAATAGGTAACATACTTAACTTTCCCAAAGAATATTATGAAAACAAAATTGTACTGATATAGCTTTTCTTTCAAATTTCTCAACTTTTTTTTTTGTCATTTTCATCTAGTTAAACAATGAGGTTTATTTAATGATTTACTACTTTTACAAGTTACCTAAGCATTGGACAGTGAAGAAATAATTGCAGAGCAGCATACGTACCACCAAGATTACATGCAGTGGTTTGGGCTACTTCCAGATTTCTAGCAATAATTGCCAGGCGGCAGCCTTTCTGTGCCAGTAATTCTGCAACAGCTTTTCCTATTCCTCGGGATCCTCCAAAAATGGCACAAACCTTGCCCATCTTAAAAAATAATTCACAAATTGCAAATAAACCATGAATTTCAGGTCCAATACAGCAAAAGAATAACCACTGTTCTTATCAACATCACAGCCATGCTAGTTTGTAGCATTTTGTAACGTCAAATTATAGAATTAGTGATTTGTTAATTTTTTATTCACCAAAAAATAAACACTTGAGCTAAATTAGACACCACTTCTACAAATGCAAGTTAATTCTTAGTGATTTCTGAACTAGTAAAAAAATTATGCATGCAATCTAGCATTTCAATGCTAGTGTTATGATAACTCCTATTCAGTTGATGAAGTATACGATTTATATATCTAAAGGCCGTAATGTATCATTCAGCTGTTTATTCAAAGCCGACATAGTAGCTGTAATTATATTGTTCTTGCAAGCACTATTCTCATACTGAAGTCATTTAGCCTCAAGGTCTCGCTCCATCCTAAGTACCTGTGTTGGACACCCACATTGCAAACCTTACAGAGCATGATTTGATACTACTGTATGTACACTAGTTTAATACTAAGTTACACTACACAATACTATGTTTCACCACTAGCCTTAGGTTTTTTGTTTCTGCTTTTGAAGAAAAAAAAATAGCTTTTTGAAATGTGAAATGATTCTGAAGTATCTAGCTTAGATGTTTAGGAAGGAGTGTAAGAAGAAAGTACTGTAGAATGATCTTTTATTCTGCAACCTCTAGAAACCAATCAGCTGTTCTGGGATTTCCTGAGGAGCCAGAGGCAGAATCAAAGCAATAGCAATGAACCTCTTTTCCATACATTTGAATAAATCCTTTTTGAACCCAATTATACTTTGTCTCCATAACATCCTGAGGCAACGAGTTTCATTATTTGTGGAAAAGTACTTCCTTTTGCTCTTAACTTGCTTTCAGGTAATACTATGCATTTCTCCTTATAACTTCCTCTTACTGTTAGTAGCTTCAGAGGCTACTCTTCTGTATTTTACCCTCTCCCATAACCTCTTTCAGGTCTATTTAGTCACTCTTATAGGTATGGAAGCCATTCTGTATCTCACTAAAGACTGTCCAAGTTCTTAAACCCGCCACCCTACCCTTTGCCTTGCTCTTAGGTCTATTACACCCTTTTTGATATGCGATAACCAGAAGAGCCCACAGTGTTGAGCATGCAAGGACACCATCAACTCATACAGTGGCATAATGATTTTGGTCTTCTGTGACAGGGCCTGAAAGAGCAGACTGTCCTTTTCTGTAACAAAGTAAGCACAAGTGCTTGAAATCAACCCATGTGTCTGCTTCCACTGGCAAGTTGAAATCAGCTTCCTAGGAGCCCTTTCGACAGAACACGTACGAAAAGATGTCCTGCATGAAAACAGCTCCTTAGTGATAAAAACAGGCACCACTGCCTGACCAGAAAGACTAATCTTTTGGATAGTCTTCATTAGGTATCTAGACTGCAAGAGATGAACCAAGAGGTCTTGCACCCCAGCAGCTACAGCTCTTACTGCCTTAGCAAACTAAAGGCGCATCCAGCCAACCCACCCACCCATATCTTGTTGACAGATTTTTCTGTTAGAAACAAAGTCTCAGTCTGCCTTCTCCATCATGACTGATCTCTTCTTTTACAGAATTATCACAATGACTCTTGGAAGTTCTTGCCTATTTGTTGCAGCAATGTCATACTAGGATTTCCTCCTTCATATTTTGTTCTTACCAGCACTGACCATACCTACTCTTTTATTTTTATGTGAAACATGGAATAATATAGATTACAAGGGATCTCTGGAATTCATCTTGTCTAACTCCTCCACTCCTAAGTAATGTCAAGTGAACCATCTTATACTGTTTATAAATGCTGTCAGACCCATATGTATTTTCCCAATAATTCTGGACGTGCTTAGCTACACAGGACCCAACAAGCTGCCTGGGGGGAGAGAACTTCTTTAAAACGTGTCATTCTATCCTTCCTGGTCTCTTTGAGAAGGGAAAAAAAATCTTAGCGATTCTACCATTCTCGGAAACAATAGTGAAAGTCCCTTGTACATTAACCAGATATTTACAGGGGGAGCGTAAGGCCTACTTCCAACGCAGCAATATACAATTTGCGGTTGAGCACATAAGAGCTATAGATTCTTTGGAGTTGTGACTTGGGAGAAAAAAAAAAACTGCAGCAGGAGTAATAAGCCTATATTCTCTGGTCAAATAAAGGTCGGGACAACCAAGTATCTTTTGAGCAACAGGCTCTTCTTCTGGGTCACCACACAGCACACACAAGTGCCTGCACCGCCTTTGTCCTCTACGGCTTTTCCCTTCTTTCAAAACAAACTCTTTAATCCGTGAGCCCCAGGGCTCCAGCGGCACTACCGCTAACCGCCTCATGGCACACCGCTCTACATCCGCTGGAGGACACCTTTCAACACAGGCGAGTCGGGATACCGCGGCCGGCCGGGGGCCGGGCCGGGCCGCCCCGCCGCCCGCACCTGTGCGCCCTCAGCCGCCTCAGCCACCGCCCCCAGCCCCGACCCTCTCGTTCTCCCCTCTCGGCAAACCTTCTTCTCGTCGAGTCCCGTCCCCCGTCCCCCCCCCCTCCTTTTTCGGGCTCCCACCAACCTCCTCCGACCCGGGGCGGCACTGCGGCCCCTCCCT